ACTATACTACCAAGCAGTAATTATCATAATGATTTGGTATTGTTTTAAAAAATAGAGACATAGATCAATAGAACAGATTAGGGATATAACATAGAGAAACAAACAAATGTAGTAACCTTGCATTTAATAAACACAAAGACTCCAGCTTCCGGGGTAAAGATTCTCACTATTGATTAAAGTTCCTGGGAAAACTGCATAGCAATATTGTAGAAATTAGATTTAGACCAATACCTCACATCATATAACAAGAAAAGCCCCAAGTGGATATATGACTTAGCTCTAATTTTAGAGAATTTAATTCTTTAATTTAGAGAAATAAGGAAGCAATTACCTATCAGATCTATGGATGTGCAAAGCAATCATGATCATACAAGGGACAGAGAAGATCACAGAAAACAAAATGTATAATGTTTTTGCACATACAAACCCAGTATGTCTGAGTAGAAAGAAAACAGTTAACCAGGAAAAAAAATCTTGACAAGTTTCTTGGCTAAAGGTCTCATTTCCAAGATACATAAGGAAATTACTCAAATTTATAAGAAGACCCATTCCCCAATTGATAAATGGTCTAAGGATATGAACAGGCAATTCCCATGAGAAGAAATCCTGATTATCTTTAGTCATTTGGAAAAAAATACTCTAATTCACTAATAATTAAAGAAATGAACATTAAAGCAATTCCGATCTTCTAATTCATACCCTTTACATTAGCAAAGATGACAAAAAAAGAAAATGTTGAAGGAGCTGTGGGAAAATAGGCACGTTGATGCACTGTTGGTAGAGCTGTGAAGATTGTGATGAAAAAAATTTGGAATTATGCACAAAAACTACTCAACAAAGCATACCCTTTACTATATCCCTGCTAGGCTAATACCACAAAGATCATAAAAAATTAGAGGAAAAATCTTATATGAACAAAAATATTTTTAGCAGCTTTTTGTGGTAGCAAAAAAACTTTAAACTATGGGAGTTGCCTATCAGGGAATGGCTGAACAAATTATGGTACATTGATATAATGGAATACTATTAAGTCATAAGAAGTGAGGGAAAATATTATTTCAAAGAGATACAGAAACTCTTATAGGAGTTGATGCAAAATGAAATGAACAGAACCAGAAGAATAATTTATACTTTGTCATCAAAAACATGAAAAGAAAATCATGAAAGACTTTTGAATGCTGATCAACTAACAGAGTTTGGGAATCAAGAGACTGCTAAAAATTAAGATGTAACTTTTCCCATCCGAGTTCATGCCCTCTCTAGAGTCTAGTCACAGACCTCTTGAAGGCCTATGAAATCTGGGTTAAGAACCCTTCTTTCAAGCTGGTACCAGCACATAGTATCAATCAACAACCATTTATTAATATGGTTATTGGCACATAATACTATGTGCCAGGTACCATACTAAGCAATGGATATAAGTAGCACAGAAGACATTCTTTTTCCCCATTATTCCCAAGAGAACACATCAATTCTTTCCTGTAGATTCAATGCCCTCAGAAGGAAATCCTTGGTCCCCTAATACCTACCTAAGATTACTCGCAAAAAAAGGCAATAGTAGACATTAATATAGTATTTCATAGACACATCAATCTAGTGCCCTTAGTTAGGTGAATACATGGAAGTATTCAGTAGAATGTAAGCTTCCCAGGTGGCGCAGTGGATAGAACACTGGCTCCGGAGTCAGGAGGACCTGAGTTCAAATCTGGCCTCACTCAGACACATAATACTTCCTAGCTATGTGAGTCTGAGCAAGTCACTTAACCCCAATTGCCTCACTTAAAAAAAAAAAAAAAAAGGAAGATCTAAGCAAAAGGGTCAAAGATTCTGTAGGATAATTCAACCCAGAAATAAGCATTCTGAGGTATGGGATGTCCTCTAACACTTTGCTTATCAAGACATAGGAAGGTTACTTCTGGGCAGCTAATAGAATTCCAGTAGAATGTAAGCTCCTTGAGGGTGGGAGCTGTCTCAGTTTTTGTCTTTGTTATTTCCAGCACCCAAGTGCAGTGCCTGGCAAGTAGTAGGTGTTTAATAAAAAGTGAATTGAATTTCCTGCTAACTGCAGGTTTGCCTCCTTTCCCAAACTGCTGCCATTCCCTTTCCCACTCTGTTTTTAAGAGAATGGTGGTAAGTGACTTACTTAAAGGTAAGTCAGTTATTACAACTGCCCTGACCTCTACCTCCCTCCCAATTCTCTAAATTGTCTAATTTTTAGCTTTTTCACTGAAAAGAACATACATACAAATATATACATATGTATATATACACATACACACATTCACATAAATACATATATGGAGATATAACCTGATAGGCCCAAATACTCACTGTCAGTTTGAATCAATTTTAGGACTTCTGGAAGGTCTTCCTCAGGTAACTTCATCCCTAAGCTCTCCAAAGTATCAGACACATCATCAACCTTGACTTTCCCATCACTCATTTTGTTGACCATATCCCATGCATCCTCTATCTCTGTATGTATGAATGAACAAAAGGACAAAACTATTAGTTGAAGATTCTTGAAAAGCATGTAAAAACTTGATCTGGGGAATAATATTCACTCTCTAAAGTGGGGCTCCCTGTGTTTCTGCCTTCTCTGAAGTAAGATCCTAGGATTTAGAGCTTGAGCTTTTAGAAGTTATTTAGTCTAATTCAATCATTTTATTTTATTTTTTTAGTCTAGGTCTCTCCATCTTGCTCTGGGTGGAAGTACAACAGTCTGCTATGGTTCAATACCACTGTTGGTCAGCACCAAAGCTTTGACATGATCCATTTCCATCCTGGGCCAATTTACCACTCCTGAGGTAGCCTGGTGTTCCCATCCTCCCTCCAATCCCAAAGATTCACCATATTGGCACCAGATTTAGTGGAGGCATCTGACTGGCTTTATTCCTCCTGCATCACAGACCCCCAGACTCAAGCAATTCACCAGGCTCAGCGTCTAGTAGTAGGAGTAGGAGCAGTACTAATGTTGTTGTTGTTGAGTTATGTCTGATTCATTGTGACCCCATTTGGGGTTTTCTTGGCAAAGTTACTGGGGTGGTTTGCCATTTTCTTCTCCAGTTCATTTTACAGATGAGGAAACTGAGGTAAATGAGGTTAAATGAGTTGTCCAGGGTCACATGACTAGTAAGTGTCTGAGGCTAGATTTGAACTAAAGACTCCTCTTCCTGACTCCAGGTTTGGGACTCTATCAACAACGACATCTAACTGCCCAATAGTAGTAATAGTAGTGGTAGTAGAAGTAGTAGTTGTAATAATAGTAGTAATAATAGTGGTAGTAATTGTAGTAATAGTAGCACTAGTTGGAGGAGTGATAGTAGTAATAGTAATAGCAGCAGTAGCAATAGTAACAGTAGTATTAGCAGCAGTAGCAGTTGTAGTAGTAGAATTATTAGTAATAGTAGTAGTAGTAGCAGTAATAGTAATATTAGCAGCAGTAGCAGTAATAGTAAGTAGTAGTAGTAGCAGCTGCAGTAGTAGTAATAGTACCAATAGTAGTAGTAGCAATAGTTGTAGTAGTTGTAGTAGTAATAGTAGCAGTAGCAGCAGCAGCAACAGAAACAGGAATCACAGGCATGTATCTCCACCACCCCTGGCCCAAATTTTAAAGAAGAGGAAACTAAGGCCCACTGAGGTAAGTGATATGCCCAAGACTGCACAAGTATTGGAATAAGGATTCCAAATTGACTGAAAACCAAAAAGCACCATATGCTTTTGTTTGCCAACATTTAAAAATTCAAAACAACTCCTCTCAAAACTCCTTACTGCTTTTTTATAAGATGGCAGGGCGATGACATTGTTGCGTCAAGTATTAATTCACCCCCAAATGAAAGATGAGAGACATGCCATATTTAAGTTTTTAAGATTCCATGAAGTTCAATTTAAAGAATGGTTGGCTAGCAATCAATAGAGCTCGGTTTGAGGACCTCTCTAGTCTTTTTTGGGTACTTCAGTTAAATAAAGGTAAATCAGTGCCAAATCAGAACAATCAGTATTCTCTTGCCCACAGTACCCCATGGCTAAGAACGTCCACAGAGGGAGAAGGAATACAGAGGGAGGGGATGTCACAAAACTAACCCTGCTCCCATGGAGTTATTGCAAATCTGGAGGTCAAATAGATCTGGAGATGATGACATCAACAGCCCTAATCTCAGTCTGAGTTCCTGAGTTGAGTCTTTAGAGGATGGGTGAAAGGGAAAAAGGGAATAAGCATTTATATGACTCCTACTATGTGTTAAGTGCTTTTTACAAATATTTTCTCATTTGATCCTCACAACAACACTGCAATGTAGGTGCTGTTTTTACCCCCATTTTGCAGTTGAGGAAACTGAGGCAAACAGAGCTTAAGTGACTTGCCCAGCTAATAAGCACAACTAATAAGGGTGTGAGGCCAAATCTGAACTTGCATCTTCCCGACTCTATCCAATATACCACCTAACAGTGTAGGGATTTACTAATAGCACTCAGATAATAAGTGAGCTCAAGCTATTCTGAACAGGTCCTATCCATCCTCTAGGTTTAACTCACAGGAAAATAAATATTTAGAGCTGTAAGGGATCTTAGAGGCAAATCCCCTCATCTTACTGAGGAAAATGAGGCAGAGAAAGGTTACTGCTCAAAGTCAGACATCTAAGTGTCTAAGCAAGAACTGAAACTCAGGTCTTCCTGACTCCAAGTCCAGCATTGTATGACTTCATCACCTGAGTCTCACATCTTCCATGAAGCCTTCCCAGCCCATCCAGTCCCATACAAAGCCCTTCCTCTCCTCTGAACTGAGAGCCCATTCTGTCTGAAATACTCAGTGTGGAATCTAATCATGTACTGTCCTTGTAACACTTTTTGTATTGTTATCTTGTATGACTATTTAACACTTTTTACTGCTATACAACTTTTCTGCATTTATATCTTTTCTGCCCCCAAATAAATTTTAAGTTAACTCTTATTTTTTAAAGTTGTGAAAATAAGAATGTTCCTGTTTTGAAATTCATACTCACTTTGGCAGTCACGAAATTTTTTCATCATAGCCAAATTGTTGACAAAATCCTTTAAATTCACCATTCCATCCTCTGCCAAAAAAGAGGGAAAACAATTCAGACATTCCAATAAAGAGAAAAGTAGATCTATGAAGTCAAGTCTACAAAATATTAAAGTATAGAGTAAACCAGAACCTAACTAAAAGCTGTCCCAAAAACTAGCTTGACAATTACTTGTTCCCATACCCTTGGTTTGTCATATTTTAAAACCATTTAAATCATTTGCATTTTAACAATGAAATACAGAAGCATAAGGTATATGACACAAATCCAAATTGTTTTAAACTTAAGTAAATAACAAAAGCTAACCTAAGAAAATCTCAAGATGTATATAGGACTTAACAATGAAAAGGATTTGGTCAGGTCAAATAAAATTTTCTAGGCTTCCTAAAACAAACAAACAAATAAACCAATAAGTAAACATGTGCACATGACCAACTAATTGAGAGAAACTTCTATATTAGAGTGATTGCATACAGAATCCCGCTCTCCCCTCCACTGAAATACTCACCACTGACAGTGGCATCCAATGCTTCCTGTATATTTTCATCACTTAAATGGATTCCCCTGACATTCAGCCTTTCCTGAAGCTCAGCGATGATGTTTTCATCACTTCTGGGAATGTTGATTTGACTAAGAGACTCTTTAACTCCTAGAAGGAGGAATCATAGTCATCATTAATCATCATCAAAATATGGAGACCTGGCTGAGGAGGTAAAAATCTCCTGGAAACAAGATGAGGTGTAATAGCATCCTTGCAACATTGTTGCTAAAGTCATATCATAGGTGCTTGCTTGCAAGGAGCCTATAGATAATGAGTTATATTCAACTGCAAAAAGCAATTACTACATTCACACACACACACACACACACACACACACACACACACACACACAAGCAACTAAGCCATGAACAGAGATAGAGACTGGACCTGAGTTTATGCTGATATGGGGAGTTCCTGGATGAAGAAACTCCCTCATAGCAATGCAGGTCAGTACCTTCTCTGCAATTTATAGTCTCTTAGAGTTGGTTGAGTCATTAGCCAAGGTTCATATAGCCAGTATGAGTCATAGGTAGGGCTTGATCCCAGGTCTTCTCGGCTTCAAGGCCAGATCTCTAAAATATCTAAGAATAATAGCAGGAGAGTGAGGAAATTGAAGGAACTGGTGGTGAAAATTGAGTGAGCCACTGTAACTCTGTCTTGTGACTCTTCTGGAGCTAGCTCAGTCCCCTTTGTACTCAATTATGGGTCTAGTCCAACTTCTGTCTTGTGAGAAAACTTTATTCAATTATGGGAATTGAGAGAAAACCGTAATGTATTGTTTGAACCTAGCCGTGCATGTCTAGGAAACTGGAGTACTTGGGCTTAGAGATCCTTAACTAAGCACCTAGGATATGCTGACCAGAAACCCAGATTCAAAGACTGATACAAGGAGTTTTCTCAGAATTGTACATCTTATCTGAGAACTGGTCCTGTACTAATTGGTCACTTATTGTTTGCATGTTCCTTTGATTGTATAAAGATGCCTGAGGGGAATGGGACACTTCCTTTTCTGATTTCAGGGAATTGCACCTGTTCACTCCCTCTCCCAATCTAGAAAGTCCCTAGCTTTCCTCCAATTAAAAATCATATTACCTAATGTTATATCCTGGTTAATTGTTTTCTTTTAATTAATTGGGCTTATTTGATTAATTGTTTTTAATGTATAAAAGCTTATCGCTCCCTGTGTTCAGGGTCCAGCCCTAAGCTGAGGAAGGGGCCGGGTCCCAATTCCTTGGACAATTGGCAAGCATTGCTTAATAAATCTAAATGCTGAGAAGCTCTAATCTTTGTTTCCTCAGTCATTTCATCTTTCACTCACCACAACGACAACTTATTCTAGAACAGACTTCCATCTGAACCCCATCAAAAGAAATGAGAACAAGATAAGTGGTTTTAAAAAACTGTACAACATATCACTGTAGGTTGTAAAAAATTAGCACCTACTAAATACCTAGTAAGACATAATCTTGTGGCCAGAGTCATACATGAGAAATTGGCTGTTTTTCATAACCTAATGGATAACAAATGCAAACTCCAAAATATTCCTAAGAATTCAAAAAAATTAATTTTACCAGAACTAGAACATTATCACAGACAGTTTCCTGGACATAAAACTGCTCTAAACAAAATTTTAAAATATTTTAATATATGGCTCTCAACAAATCCTCAAAATTCTAAGCTACGTAGGATGAAAAGCTTTCAAAATATGGAGACATAGTGGAAGTAATTAAAATAATGTAGGAACAGGAAGAAGTACATTAACATTATCATCTCCAATGAAATGAGATAATATACATCATAAAACACTTTAAAACCCTAAAGCCTATATAAATGATATTATTGTTATTATCATCATTTCCATCCCTGTCATTCTGTCTACTGAAGAAGCCCCAAGGATACTTTTCTAGATAGCCAACTGAAGACACATTTATGTCCCAATACTTTTGTTCAGTTACAAAAAGCGGTCATTTTATCCCTATATCCAATAGTTTCCAGAACATAATATGCAAAATAATAATAGCCAAAAAGTGAACTGTCCTGGATATGTTTCTATCTGAACTCTATCAGACCATATAACTCCATCAGACAAAATAACAACAGTAATAACTGACATACATAGTTTTGAAATATTCAGAGTGCCTTATACATATTATCTCACTTGAGCCTCACAAAACCCTTGCTGGGGAAGTATTTTGTTTAATTATTACAGATGACTAAAGTGAGATTTGCCAGGGTCCCACAACTACTTTATGTCTGAAGTTGGATTTGACCTTAGTTCTTTTTAACTCTAGGTCCAGTATTTTATCTTCTATACCATAGTGCCTTTTCATACAGAAACCTCATAGGAAAATGTAACAATGACAAGGAGAGGTTTGTGTTACTTCCCCTCTATATAAGAAAATCAAATCATATCTGTGAAGAAGCACTTACCAATATATAAGAGAGTGTGATACAGTGAGTATTAAGCCCATTTTAAATATTAAAGAGATTAGAACATTCACTGGATTTCTTAATTATTTGACTGAAAGATTCTAAGGAACTAGCATGTAATTAACTGTAGAAAGTCCTGCTCAATATCTATGTCACCAGAAGTTATATCCTTAGTTTGTCAGCAGGCATACCCTGGCATATCACTGATCTGGCCATTATAAATTCCCAATAGATTCTTTGGTAAAGGATGTGAAAGACAACACGGAACAGTTTTTCATTGAAGTATTTCATTGAAGGCCCTTGGATAAGTTTTCCTTGTTTATTTTGTCCTTTAGTTCTGAAATAAATTGAAATATAGATAGAAGTTTACCTGGATTTCTCTTGTCTGAACTCAAATTCTGTTTGACTTTACTTGTTGAACAAATGAGGTTGCACAATGTTCTGATGCAGGATGGTAGTCATAAGCCCTAATTGTTGATATGGCCTTTCAAAAAGTTATCACAATTGCACTGTTATCCTTGGGGGTAACTTGTTCAGTTGATCAAGATATGAGTATATTACTGCTATTAGAACACTTAGATGGGCCAATCTAGGTTTTATTACTCAGAGGTTAGTTTTCTGCCCCACTTCCCCACCCAGGTCACCATAACTACATTTTATAACATACCCTAGTATACTATAGGCCAATAGGTTTGATTTAATAAGGGAAATTTATGCTTTAAAATATCTTTTTATCTTATGAGATCCCTGCGTCTGAACAGGAAGGTCAGTTCCACTGATGAGAGAGAGACAGAGAGGGAGAGAGAGAGACAGAGAGAGACAGAGACAGAGACAGAGAGAAGACAGCATCTCTCATTGGAACATTCACACAAGTTCCTGGGAGTCACACAGAAGAAAAAAAAAATCTAACAAAAACCTGCCATAAGGTAATCTTTGCTATGATACCATTGCCTAGATATATAAGATTTTTATGATGAAAGTTTCACTGATAAGAACACATTTAGAATTTTTAAAGAAGGAAATGAATTCTTCCTATGAAATTTATTTCTACTTTCTCATTTCCCCGTGAATATCCATATGTGTATATTTGTATGTTTATCTGAGTGCTGTATTTTATTCTTAATTGACAGCTGTTTTATTGCTCCCTGGCATTTGCCTACAGAAGAACTTGTGTATAAAAGAGTGCAGGCTACGATAAGGAATAGGTAATGGGAGCACAGTGCAGTGAAATAAGCAGTGAACCATTAGTCATTGATTCATGTTCTAGTCTTAAAATGGACTAAATTAGATTAGAAACAAGACTCTTAATGGTTTATTTACTGAACCACCTTATGCACTACCACAATGCTGCCCCATCCAAACAATGGAGAAAGAAATGCCAATGTCATTATAAATGAATGAGGACCTAAATGTAATGGGTTGATTTGATCCACTGTTCTTACCATGATGTGCCACCTTGTGGTGGATACAGGAGTACATATAGTCACCAACACACTGCTAGCTTAAAAAAATTATTTTATAACCAATTATAACTAAACCTCCAATAGATAAGATTATATCATAATTTCATCATAATCATGATTATAACTAAACCCCAATTTTAAGAAGTACGTGCTATTTAGACCACAATAAAACTATAATCTTTTCAAGTGATATGAAAATCGGTTCTTTCTAACGCTACTTCCTCTACATGCCCCTTCCTCAATGACTCTCTCCCCCCCGACCACCATCACCTCTTTTGCTGTAGTGTTAGTACTATTATCACAATTTATATTTCCACAAAAGTGAATTTTGGAAGAAATACCTAGATGCTGCACGGATTCGAAGGGAATTCTACTATCTCACTGATTTTACCAAGTACTAAAGTTAAAGTGAGGAGCTGCATTGTGCCTGGATTCAGTTTTTATGTCTTTGTCTTTCATCATTGAAAGCAATTGCTATATAATTTGCTTCAGTGTTATTTTCCCCTTTTCATGTGTTTTCCTCCCAGATTCTTATTTGTTTGCATCCTAAATAGGCGGAGTCAAATAGTCATTTATTTTGTACTCATTTATAAACTTATAGAAAGCATGATTATAGAGACAGACCCAGAATCAGGAAGATCTCGTTTTAAATCTCTCCTCTGATACATACTGGCTATGTGACCTCGGACAAGTCACTCAACTCCTTAGTGTCCCTGGGAACTGTCAGACAATGAATTGGAGAGCAGATGTGGTTCTGCATTGGTAGAGAGTATTTTCTCACTGGGAGTTCCCTATTCCAAGGAAATCACAATTCCAAAACAGTAACTTAAGAACCATAGCAAGTTCCCTTGGAAAGAGACAGGGTAGAAAACAAAACAAACTTACCAGCAGCTTCAGGAATCAGCATCACTTTGGATAAGATGCCCATGAATTTAGATAAATCTACCTGACCTTGTTCTGCAACATGAAGCAAAATTCAGTTATTTGAATGAATCAATCAAATATTTGTTAAGTACTTACTGGATAGCAAAGAGATCAAATCAGCCAATACTTAAATAAATTAACACTGACTATTCATTGGAGGGACAAATACTGAAACTGAAAGTTAAATACTTTGGTCATATAATGAGAAGAAGGACTCATTGGAAAAGATTGATGCTGGGAAAGACTGAAGGCAAAAAGAGAAGGGGATAGTAGGGGATAAGATGGATAGATAGTGTCATGAAAGCAATGAACATGAACTTGGACAGACTTTGGGAGATAGCAGAAGACAGAAGAGCTAAGTGTGCTATGGGCCATGGGGTCACAAGACTCAGATATGACTGAATGACTAAATAATAACAAATCCGTACACCAGTCACTGTGCTACAGGCTAGATATACAAAGACAAATGTGAAACAGTCCTTGACCTTAAGGATCTTATATATTCCTTCCCATTCACTTTAATGGAAACCCTGTCCTCCCCTAAGAACGCTAAATCTATTAGAACTCTCTCCACTTTCCCAACTCATAGTTTCAAGTGAAAGGGGGAATCCTTCTTATTCTCCCAAACCACCTCCAGAGAGCTATTTTATCACTATCCCTCCATGACTATGTTGGTATTTTGTTCACTGAACAAAATATAAGCTCTTTGAAGATTTTATCTAAACCATAACTCTCTCCCAGTACCTAGCACAGTGGTCGACTGTGTCTACAACAAATTTGTTGCACTGTTGCACTGGATGATTCTAAAATCCAATAAACTGTGTTTTGTGACATTTATTCAGAATATAAAATTCCTTAAGAAAGCATCTTATGCTTTCAAGGTTCAACAAAACATCGAAAGTGCTCGCCATTGGTAACCTCTGGTAATATTTGCTCAAGCACTTCCAGTGCTCCATAAAGACCCTGTTGTGTCAATGAGTCCTTAAGTTCATCATAATCAATGAGATTATCATGGAGATTTTCAAGGCCAGAGGAGGCTAGCTGCAAAGCTGAAAACACATAACAAAAATAAATGTCCAGATGATTGTAGTAGTTGTCAGTGGAAGACATAAGGTCTAGTATATGTCATCAATTAAATTATATATGTTTTAAGATATATGACAGACATGTCACAACTATCTAAGAAATTAATTCAAGAGATGGAGATAAACATGCTTTAATGGCCTGGAAACCTAAGTTATATCCGACTGAAAACTTTTGAGCTATAATCAAGGCTAGATGGGGAAAATGTTGACTCCCACAGTTAGAGTACCACATATTGCTTCACATCTGACCCTTCAAGGATGTGTAAAGAAAAAAAACACTATTAAATGCTACTATGATTAAAAGTTTTATTCCAAATTCCAATTCCAAAATACCTTTGGAAAATATTAAATGATATTACAGTACAAGGGCAAAACTGGTTTCAAATGTTCATTAAGAAATAGATGAATAATACAAATATGTTTTGGCTCTCACAGTACTGAGAGTAATGTATTTGCTAACAGTCACACAGAAATTGCCAACCACTTCCTCTGCTCTTTTGAAATGGAGACCAATGGTTTCCAAAAATCTATAAATTCTGGAGTATACAAATCTATTAGAAAAGTTGAACCACCAATTTTCTAAACTTGAGAGGGCCTTAAAAATAATTTATTTCAACCTCTCCTTCTACAGATGAAGCAAAACTGAATGCTGGAGAGGGGACATGATTTGGCCAAGAACGCATATTTACTTCCAGTACTAAGAGAACCCAGATTATCATAATCCCCAGTCCAATGATTGTTGTATTTCGCCCCCACAGGACTTAAAATACCTATAGTCCATGTAAGTTAAGTACAAAAAGTAGTTGTATTACTCTACCAAAAAAAATAATAAAACCAATTCAGTAAAAGCTAGAAAATGTACAGTTTCCTCAGCTCAAAATTGTTCAAGTCCTCCTTACTCCATGTTAGAGAAGTCTTTAGAAATAGCACTTAAGAAGTATAATACAAAAATTATTTGGTTCCCTTTGGAATCCAGTTATGACTCCAAGCCCTGGTGTCAGGCTACCTATTTTTCTGTGCCTTAGGTTAAATGAATGATTTGCTATTCCCTAAACAAGTCTCAACTTTTATCCCTATTATCAATCTTTGCTGATGCGGCTAACTGAATGAAATGACTTTCCCTGGTCAAACTTGTATCCATACTTTAAGGATCAGCTGAAACGTCACCTGTATAATCAAGGTTTCTTTGATGCCCACCCAAAAAGATGGAAAAGTACACAATTGGAATATTACAGTAACTATTTTTAAGTAAACATTTCACGGTGAAAAGTTATCTAATCCAATAATTTTTCTTCAAACTGCAGTCTTCACTTACCTATGGAATCAGCAAATTCTGGAGTCTCTGCCAAAGCACTGGTGACATCTTTTAACTGTAAATTCTCATTCTCTGTAAGTATAAAATTCGAAGGTATTGATATTCAAACACAGACCCCCCTGTCAGAGCCCTTTTCCTATTAGCTACTGTCTAGGTGTGCCTCTTCCATTTAATATTTCTGAGGTTTATTTTTTCAAACCCAAGAAAAAGACTTTACATGTATCTCTATTAAATTTAAAACTGAAGAAATGGGGGCTATAATCTTGGCTTGGTGTTCTGCTTGTTTCCTCAAATGAAATGATGCCTTTCCTATAGCTGCCCTTCAGTAACTTTTGGTAACAACTTCAAAAAGCTCAGGCATTTTTTGGGGGAGAAGTGGCTTTAATTTTTTGAGGTAGGGAAAAAGTGAGCTAGACTGATAAACTAATTATGGTAAATTAAGTCAATTTCTTGGCCTGGTTTGGGGTCTTTTTTTTAATAACCTCATTATAGTATACTCATAAAATGATCTTCCAGCCCCCCAGAAGATCTCCAAGAAAGGGTCACCTACCAACTCTCAGAGTAGCTCATTCCATTTTGGACAGTTTTAACTCTGTTTAACGCTCTGATATCAAATGTAAACTTGTCTCTTTGCAATTTCTGTTCATCATTCTTGTATTTACCCTCTGAGGCCACAGACAAGCTTAATTCCTCTTCCACATGATATCCCTTCATATACTTGAGCATAGTTAGCATGATTTCCCTATGTTTTCTCTTCTCCAGACTATACATTCTCACTTCCCTTAACCAATCTTCATTGGACAGGAACTAAAAATTCCTGCATAATCCTGGTTGCCCTCCCCTGAACCCTCTCTAGATTATCGATATCCTTCTTTTTTTTTTTTTATCAATGTCCTTCTTAAAATGTGTTGTCCAGAACCAAACAAAGTACTTCAAATGAGACCTGATGAGGGAATATACTACAACGGGACTATTTCCTCACTACTCCTAGAAACTATATCTGTCTTAATGCAGTCCAATATCAAATTAGCTATTTTGACTGCTAGGTTTTACCACTGATTCATAGTGAGTTTGCATTTCACCAAAACCCTCAGGTCTTTTTTCGGACAACTCCTGTCTAACCATGCATTCTTTATCATATGCTGGTCAAATTCATTTTCCATATTTATATACACTTAAGTATAAGACTTTATATTTGTATGTAAGTGTAAGACTTTACATTTGCTTCTACTGAGTTTCATTTACTTTGATGTAACCCAATACTCTAGCCTGTCAATATCTTTGGGGATGCTGGCTCTACGTCTAGTACTCTAGCTATCCAATCTAGCTTTGTGACATCTGTACATTTGATGAGCATGCTATCATCTATGCCTTTATCCAAGTCATAGATAAAAATGTCACAAAGACTACCCAAACATAGATCCCTGTAGTACTGTATTGGAGACCTCCTGTCCTACTGGCACTGGATCATTAACAATTACTCTTTGGGTCCTGCCAACCAAACAGTTCTGAATCGACCAAAATGTATTATTACCTAGTCCACATATTTTCATCTTCTCCAAAAGAAGAGTATGAGATAATTTAACAAAAGCTTTGTTAAGGTCTAAGTACCTATGTTCATAACATTTCCCTCATCAACTAGTTTAATAATGCTGTTAGAAAAAGGAGATGAGGTTAGTCTGGCATGAAGCAAACTGGCTCCTTGTATCCCCCTTCTGATGTCATCAATTATCTCTTCAATGATCCATTCTAGGATCTTCCAAGGCATGAAAGCCAAATTCACTAGCCTATATAATTTGCAACCTCTAGACCAGGTGACTTAAACTCATCAAAGGCAAACTAAATGCTCTCTTAATATCTCATGATATGACTTCTCAGATATTTTTTATGTCATTTCTAGTACAGGGGTCATTCCTCTTGGCAGAGAAAAACAAAGTAAGAATTACACAGCTCTGCCTTTTCTTCATTGTCATTTATCATCTTCCCATATACTCCAACCAAAGATATGATCTCTTCGTTTGTGCTCCTGTTTCTTATATATTGAGAGAAAACTTTTTTTATTGTTCTTGGTTTCTCTCAGCAGCCTCACCTCATTCTGAAGTTCAGCATTAGTGACATTATTTTTTCTAGGCCCATGTCTTACTCATAACCACCATCTGTTAACCTGGGTTTGCTTCTACCATCTGTATTTTTTTTAATCAAAGTTGGTTGGTGAGTTCACTATGCATCCACATCAGTCTCTTCAGACAAATCCCATTTTTCCTCCTAAAGGAATTCTTCCCCTTGTCATCAAAATTTCCTTCTTGAGCATATCCCCATCCCTCCTGGACTGATTTCCATAGCAGGATCTTGTCCATAAGATCCTACCTATTCTTCCCTCTGACCTCTTTGAAATCTGCTTTCTTAATCTCTAGGGTACATATCAGACCATATACAAGACAATTATGAAGTCATTAGCTGCTCTGCTCTTGGCAGACAGCTTCAGTAGATGTCTGGATAATTGAATTGCTCCATCACTACTATATTATCATATCTCTGGGCCAGTCTTGTGATCCATTTCCCAAATTCCTCATCTATCTCCTCTTTTTGTCCAGGTGGTCTGTAGTATACTCCAATGACATAATCACTTGTTCCCCCCTCCACTGACAAATACTCTCCACAGCGCTTCCCTGCTCTGGTTTCTGGATTTCCTCATATGATTATATATTCTTAGTATACAATGCTACCCTCACCTCCCTTTTTATCTATCCTGTTTCTTTTTAATGAAATACATCCATCCAGAGCCATGATCCAGTCAACAGTTTCATTTCACCAAGTCTCAGTGATATGAAGTTAAATTTGTTTCCTTGAGTTAGGACTTCTACTACCTTTTATTTATTACCAAAACAGTGGAGGCCACGGGTTTTTCCTATTGGCTCCCTCTTTGGATTTATCTCCTGTGACCTTTTGGCAATCTCAACTATTAGTCTTCTTTCTTCATTGTTGCTATTCTCTACTGCTTCTAGTGTAGTATGCATGTAAATATATACATATATATAAAAGTATGTATACCAAAAATATATGTATTTTTACATACACACGTAGGTGGTCTTCTCCCTCCCCATAATTTTTTAGTTTAAATACTTTATTTGATTTAAAAGACACCCAGAAAATAACATTGTTACTAGCCTTTGTTAGGTATATTCCATTTCTGACCAGGAATTTGTCATCCTTAGAGCTTAAGCAATGGCTCAGATGTCTAGACCCCATTCTCAGACACCATATTCTTAGCCAGCTATTCGCTTCCCAGACAAATTTTTCTCTTCTGCATCCCTTGGCTTCGGGAGGCAGCAGTAAGGAAACACATGTGCTCCTAGGGTCTTCAGTTTCTTGCCCAAGTCTTCCTAATTGTTGGCAGTATTTTTACCTTTCTCCCGGTAATATCATTGGCTATCCATGTGAATAGCCAGAAGTGAATCACTCTCCATCTGTATGGATAAGTTTTGGAAAGTTCTCTGTAATGCTCCACAAAGAGGACAAATTTCTCTTTCTCTCTACCACTGTTATTGGGTCAACAAATAGCTGCGTTGGTGCCCCTAGGCAGGTAATTACCAACCACTACTACTCTTCCTTTCTTCTTCTCACCCTGTGTCACCTCCATGCTTTCCTTCTCCTTAATCATCTCAAATCCTCCCACAATTTTCTCTCACAGAAGCCAAACATAGAATCCAGTGTTAGTGTCTGTGATCTACTAGAAAATTCTCCCTCCTTTCTCAAGTATGATATTTGGATCATAGTCTGCCTGACCCCCCCTCTTTTTCCCTTATACCAAGAGACTTCAGTATATATGATGATGATGTTCCCTCAAGCAACCTAACTTACCATTCTTTAATCTCATCACTTTTCTGGATTTTTATGAATACTCTCTTCTGGTTCTTCTGTCCAACAGTTCCTTCTAAGTTTCCTTTGCTAGATTATCATTCATAACATTCCCTCTAATTATGGTTATGCCCTAAGGTTCATAGAGTCTCTTTCTTCATTTAAAACACAGTTTAAGCAACATCTTTGTATGAAACTTTTCCTGATACCCATCAACTGCTAGTACCTCCCTCTTAAAGTATTTTGTACATATTCGTATTTATTCACTTTATTTTTATGCTGTATATGTACTTAAACATATGCTTGTTGTTTCCCCATTAGAATGGATGATCCTTGGAATAGGGATTGTTTCGTTCTTTGTACTTGAATCTGTAGTGATTAGCACAGTGCTTTGTGGACTGAATGAAGGAATCATTGACTTGGGAGTACTTACACAGAAAAAGTACAGAGCCATCAAAATACCAGTTAAACTTATGAAGAATCATCCTAACAGCTTCCTGTAAATAAATAATACAGAACTTCACTCTAGGAATGCTCACCATCAGTGGCACAAGATGCAATGACTTGATCCAAGTTTTCCTTTGGTAAATTGATATTCAAATCAGCCAGGGCATGCTTCAAGTCTTCAACACCAATCTTTCCATCTTCCAAATGTGTAAAAACATCAACACCCTTTTTCAAGGCTACAAGGAGAAAGAAGACAAACAAAATATCATTTGATGACTAGAGATGTCCATGGAAAGTATACAAGATAATTTTTTATTTCTAATTTTTTATTAAGTTCACAACAGTTGAATTACTCTGCCAATAGATACTGTAAGAACCAAAACTATGAACCAGAGCAGAGTACAGTACGTAAAACCTAGAAAACAATATACTAAAATGATAGCAATGTAAATGGAAAGAAGAATACCAACAAAAGCTAAACTCTGGGTAATTATAATGACCAAGCTTGGCCCCAGAGAAGAGATACCTCTCAGGATTTCTGCCTAAAGGTGGGAATGGGAAACGTCATAGAGAAGCCCACTTTTCCCACGTGAACCCTAGAAAATAACTGAAAAGGACCCCAGAAAGGCCAATGATAAAGAAAACCAGGGGGAAAAATAGAAGTAAGCTCTTCTATTCATTCTAGAACTATACCAAAAGACTGGTGTAGGCAAGGAAAAAAGTCCCAGCTGGTAAGACTTGAAATCAGCCAGTGCTCTGAAGAGGGTGTTATAAGCTGTCCTGAACCCTAGTAATGGGAGACCTGAAGTCAAATCAAAGCTCTGACCCCACAGAACAGAAGAGGAGACAGAGTTTGCACCAGTAGTTCCTATACAGGAAGACAGAGGATGTACTCCTTGGAACATGGGGAGTCACAGCATGAAGAAAAAAGCCAACTCAGCATCTGGGTACCAATGCCAGGGGTCTATGCAGGAAGCCTGAGATAAGAATATCCTCCAATATCCAACTAGGCCTCTCATAGTTACAGTAGGGCCTGAATTAACAAGAATCTTTAATAGTATTTTAAAATTTTTTTCCCAATTGCATGCCAAGACAATTTTTAACATTCATTTTTACTTTTGAGTTCCAAATTTTCCTCCCTTCCTCCCTCTTCCAAAAATAGTAGGCAATTTGATATAGGTGATACATATGCTACCATATAAAACATATTTCCACATTACTTACAGTTGTGAAAGAAGAAACAGATCAAAAAGAAAAAATGCAAAGTGAAATAAGCAGAACCAGGAAAACATTGTGCACAGTATCAGCAACATTGTGTGAGGATGAACTATGAATGACTCAGCTCTTCAGAGCAACACAGCGGTCCAACACAAGTATAAAGGACTCATGAAAGAAGATGCGTCCACATCTGGATAAAGAACAGATGGACTCTGAATGCAAATCAAAGCATATTTTATTCTTTTCCAAGTTTTTCTGAAATCTGCCTGTTCATCATTTCTTGTTGTACAATAGTATTTCATTACATTCGTATGCCACAGCTTGTTTAGCCATTCCCCAATTGATGGGCATCACCTCAATTTTCAATATTTTGCCACCATATAAAGGGCTGTTATAAATATTTTTGTACAGATGGGTCCTTTCCCCTTTTTTTAATGATCTCTTTGGGATACAGACCTAGTAGGTGTATTGCTGGATCAAGGGGTATGCACAGTTTGGTTGTCCTTTGATCATAGTTCCAAATTGCTCTCCAAAAAGTTGGATCAGTTTACAACTCCACCAACAGTGCATTAGTGTCCCGGTTTACCCACATCTTCTCCAATATTTATCATTTTCCTTTTTTGTGATATTAGCCACTCTGATAGGTATGAAGTGGTACCTCAGAGTTGTTTAAAATTGCAATTCTCTAATCAAAAGTGATTTAGAGAAAAAAAAACAAAAAGTGATTTAGAGCACCTTTTTACATGCCTACAGATAGCTTTCATTTCTTCATCTGAAAGCAGCCTGTTCATATCCTTTGACCATTTATCATTTGGGGAATGGCTTGTTTTCTTATAAATTTGACTCAGTTCTCTATATTTTGAGAAATGAGGCTTTTATCAGAAACACTTGCTGTAAAGATTGTTGCCCAGTTTTCTGCTTTCCTTCTAATCTTGGTTGCATTGGTTTTGTTTGTATAAGAGGTTTTTAATTTAATATAATCAAAATTATCTGTTACATTTTGTAATGCTTTCTATCTCTTGTTCAGGCATGCTTTCTTCTCCTCCTCATAGATCTGACAGATAGACTGTTCCTTGTTGTTCTAATCTGCTTATGGTGTCACCCTTTATGTCTAAATCATGCATCCATTTTAACCTTATCTTGGCATATGGTGTGAGATGTTGGTCTGTACCTAGTTTGTGCCCTATTGTTTTCCAGTTTTTCTGGCAGTTTTTTGTCAAATAGGGAGTTCTCATCCCAAAAACTGGTATCTTTTGGTTTATCAAACACTAGGTTACTATGGTCATTGACTCTTGTGTCTTGTGTACCTAATCTATTCCACTGATCCACCACTCTATTTCTTAGCCAATATCAGATAGCTTTGATGATTCCTGCTTTATAATATAGTTTGAGGTTTAGTATTGCTAGGCTACCTTCCTTTGTATTTTTTTTATTAATTCCCCTGATATTCTTGACCTTTTGTTCTTTCAAATGAATTTTGTGGTTATTTTTTCTAGCTCTATCAAATAAATTTTTTGGTAGTTTGATTGGTATGGCACTGAATAAGTAAATTAGGTTAGCCAAAATTGTCATTTTTATTATATTGGCTGAGTCTACCCATGAGCAATTGATATTTTTTCAATTGTTTAGATCTGACTTTATTTGTGTGGAAAGTGTTTTGTAATTGTGTTCATATAGTTGATGGGTTTATCTTGGCAGGTAGACTCCCAAATATTTTATATTGTTTACAGTTATTTTAAATGGAATTTCTCTTTCTATCTCTTGCTACTGGGCTTTGTTGGTCATGTAAAGAAATGCTGATAATTTATGTGGGTTTTCTTATATCCTGCAACTTTGCTGAAGTCGTTAATCATTTCAAGTAGTTTTTCAGTTGATTGCCTAAGTACACTATCATATCATCAGCAAGTGATAGTTTTGTTTCCTCATTGCCTATTCTAATTCCTTTGATTTCTTTTTCTTTTCTTATTGCCATGGCTAACATTCTAGTACTACAATGAATAATAGTGGTGATAATGGACATCCTTGCTTCGCTGCTGATCTTATTGGGAATGCTTCTAGCTTATCCCCATTACAGATAATGTTTCCTGATGTTTTAAATAGATACTGCTTATCATTTTAAGAAATACTCCCTTTATTCCTATGTTCTCCAGTGTTTTAATAGGAATGGGTGCTATACTTTGTCAAAAGCTTTTTCAGCATCTGTTCAGATAATCTCATGATTTCTACTGGTTTTCTTATTGATATGGTCAATTATGTTGATAGTTTTCCTACTACTGAACCAACCCTACATTCCTGGTATAAAATCTCCTGGTCGTAGTGTATAATCCTTGTGATATATTGCTGTAATCACTTTGCTAGTATTTTGTTCAAAATGTTTGCATTGATATTCATTAGGGAAATTGGTCTGTAATTTTCTTTCTCTGTTTTAGCTCTTCCTGGTTTAGGTATCAACACCATATTTGTGTCATAAAACGAGTGTAGTAGGACTGCTTTGCCTATTTTTCCATATACTTTATATGGTATTGGAATTAATTGTTCTTTAAATGTTTAGTAGAATTCACTGGTGACCCCATCTGGCCCTGGGGATTTTTTCCTAAAGGAGTTCATTAATGGCTTGTTCATTTTCTTTTTCTAAGATGGGGATTAACAAGATTCTTACCAGAAATTCAAGACACTAGGGGCAGCTAGGTGGCACAGTGGATAAAGCTCTGGCCTTGGAGTCAGGAGGACCTGAGCTCAAATTTGGCCTCAGACACATGAAACTTACTAGCAGTGTGAACCTGAGCAAGTCACTTAACCCTGATTGCCTCACCAAAAAAAGCAAAAAAAAAAAAAAAAAGAAATTCAAGACACTGAAGCTTCTGAAGGACAAAAAGAAACAGAATTTGGAAGGATTATTTCCATCTCCTATCTTAATGGAACCTTTTCAAAGGGGTAACAAGTGATCACCATCCCACAGGAATATTTGGGATATCAGGAAAATGGCCAGAGGACTGATGTGTGATTACGAGGGGGTGCCTGAGAACTTTGCACAAGAAGTATGGAAAGAAAGATTGAAGCTTACCTAGTAGTATGTTTTCAGTGTGAACTGAAGCAGTTTCAGGTAAAATGAATCCAAAATGATAATTTTGGAGTGGCCTGAGAAAGGCAAGCAGACCATAGTCCTGACAGAGCTTGAGTCCATGGTAATATGTTTCACATAACCCTTGACAGGTAAAAGCATAGTGGCTATGCAGAAGGAATGAGAGCAGTTGAATTTGAAATGAGGCTTTGGCATTAAGTAGGAGTAGATCAACAAGGGAAAGCAGAATGGATGAGAACAGAGCCTAGGAGCCTTTGAGGCAAGAGGGCTTGCCATAAACTCCTTTCCTTTGTATGGGCACTGTGGTCTATTCATGAGAATAGGTCTTGAGCCTAGTTGCTAGTTCTCCCATACACAATGTATAAAGTAGTAAGAAAGGATGGAAAGACAGGTTTTGCCAGTACCCTTGATCTGAATGATAGGCAAGTGAGAAATTTGCCTTTGAACTTCCCTTTTGAACAGAGATTGCCCAAGGTAGCAATGGGTGATCAAGAAATCCTAAAAGAGTCAAATATATTGCATGGTTTCTCATAATTCATTGTAATGGGATTTGAGCTAGACAAATAATATTCTGTTCTGTTCATGCACTATTCCTTGAGTTAGATGCTTTCAGCAGGTATCATTATCCCCCTGAACAGGTAGGAAAACAGAAGATCAAAGAGAAAGCAATCACTCACCCAGGTGACTGGTGGCAAATGTTATAAATTAAGATTCTTGATCCTGACCCAATTCAAATGACAAAGATATACCCAATACCCAGGGTTTTTTCCCCATTTGATATATTTTCTATTGTATGAACATATTACCATCTTTCACAGGAAGTTTCTCAGTCTGCGACAAGGCTGTCATAAATACGTTGAATTTATCTCTCTCTGGACCTAGAAGGTAAATTAGAGATTACTTTAAAAAAGGACTGATGTACAAATATTACCAGGCATGGAAGAAAACTAAGGAATTTATTCTATAGAAGGAGAGGAACATGGCAGAGTGGACAGAGCATTGGCTTTGGAATCAAGGAAACCTAGTTCAAGTTGTATCTCACAAGGCTATGTAACCATGAGCAAGATAACTCATCTTCTCATTGATCCCAAGAGATTCTCAAAGACTCTTAAAGTTCTAGATGAGTTGCTAACCTGTATTTTAGAAAATTTCCTCACACCAATAAAAATCATGGGCCTAGAAAATTTATGTATATTTAATTGTAAAACTTTTAAAGAGTATTTCAAGCTAAAAGATGGCAATGTGATCAGTATAAGGAACTCAGCTGTTTATTGCTACAAAAGTCCATCTCTTTAACTCTAATTATTTTCCCACTAATCATCTATGTCTACAAATCATAGAATACTATGATCTCAGAATAATTAAAATTATGTGCAATGTGAGGGAATAGGGGTAGGAGGGAGATGGAGTTATCAGGAAATTGCTAATCAACTGATTTTCCTCTAGCCTAGTAGAAGACACCATACCCAGCAGGAAACAGGCCCTGTAGTCGAGGAAGGCGACAGTTCTGAGGTGAATGAGCTCTGACAGTCTAAAAGAGAGCCAGTTATGGGAGAAGAACTCAGCTTTTTAAGGAGGTTCACTCCTTACCTCTTGGTGAGAGAGGGAATATTTCTCTCTTCCCTCCTCCCATGACATCTTGTAGCAGAGATGGTCACCTACCAGGAGATAGCACACCCTACAGGAAGCAGGCCAAGGAGCCTAGTGGATATGCCCATCAGAGACATTACATGCAGCTCATGCATGAGATGTGTGAGCCACCTTGCCCACATGTATTCCCTCCTAGTGTACTCTATTTGTATACCCCTTCCCACTTACTGTGAATGGTTGTGAGAGAATGCACCCAGGTTTACAGGGAAATTTTGTAGCTACCATTCTTACAAAGGTAGCTCAGTAAACACCTCTGCTTTGAGTCAATTGTGTCTACTTATTGACTGTTAAGGGTAAGAAGACCAGTAGAGATTTATGAGTTAGAGTTTTAGGAGTATAGATCTACAAAGTACTTTAAAATTGCTTCCCCCATGACCTTTTTATTTCGTCTTACAGGGTTTACTTAGCCCTAGGACCCTAAGAGTCCTGAAGGTTACCCTGAAGGTAATCATACCATCATGGTCTATATCTAAGAACTTAGATTTGCTAGTAGGAAAGCAGATTGGAGTGAGTTAGGTAATCCAGAGAAAGAGTGGACTGTTGACATACCTTGGTAAGAGGTATGAAGTGCTTACACAGTCTGGGTTTTGCCATATATACTATATAAACCCCAACAATATCTCTTTTGTTGTATTTCACTCACAAAAACCTCTGAGGTTAGTGCAATAGGCATTACTGCCCTAGTTTTGCAGAAAAGAGATTAAATGCTTTTCCCAAGGTCTTATGACTACCAAGAGTCAGAGGTAGAATTCAAACCCAGGTCCCTTCTGACTTCAAAGACAGCATGCTATCCACTGTATTACATTGCCTCCTGGTCAGGTCCATCACCCTAGCTTTCTAGCTTACTGATAGCTATGAGAAAAGTGTACATTATTTTATTCTTTGACAATCTTCTTAAATTGCTTTTAATTTGAAGAAACCACAGAATTCTTCAAACTTCCCCAAGAGGAGTAAAAAGGAAGAAAGAAGATAACTTATCTCCTCTGGAAATGAAATTCCCCCCTCTCTGAAATACTATAGATGTTAAATAGCCATACACCAGCACTAGAAGCCATGAGGCCAACTTTGGAGGCTAACTATGGTGACCATGTAAGATCCTCATGACAACATTAACCACCGTGAAGGGGGTGCAAGATAGAGTTCTCTCACTCCAAATGTGCTCTATATAGAACAATTAGAGCAAGTTTGCAGTGCTGTTTAGGAATGGTATAGATGAGGCTTCATTTAGCGTTTGGCAAAGTACTACGGAAACCCTTGGAAGGAGATGGCCTGTCCCATTATAGCACCTCTTCTCCCACCTCAAAAACTGGTTGGTACTTGATCAACTCGCCTTCAAGAACAGGAGCACCAAGTGCATCCTGAATTTCTTGATCAGATGACTGTATTCCCATGGATTCTGAAGCATATCTGTGCTGAAGTATATCTGCATATACATCTTTTACAAGCAAAGGAATTGTTTTATTCTGGTCCATTGCGTTGATGGTCTCCCTCAATGCTACCCACAAAATTAAAGTAATTCAGAATGGATGGACTATTTCATTCATGGGGCTAAACAAAAATTAATATTATGAATACCTTTTCTCCTAGAAAAACAAGTACTTCATTAGTTAAGTTTTGCAGTAATTCAGCCATGATTAGCAAATAAAAAGTTTTAAATGTCTTTGTGAATTTTTAAGTTCTTACTTGCAAATAAGGAGAATATACTTGAAAAAAGTAGCTTTTTCTAACTGAATATTCAAGACATTAAGGATTCCTTCAGAGTGTTTTCAATTTCTAGGGATAGTAATTCTTATACATTAAACTCTGCCCTTAGCATCTTTCACCTTATTTTGCCCAGAACCAGGGCACCAGTTCACTTCCCGCACAGCTCCAAACCATGCTGCTTGCCCTCTAGCCTACCCATCCCTGGGACTTGTACTCTGCCTCTGGGACCCAGGACTCCAACAGGAGAAACAAAAGAAAGAAAAGAGACAGTCTCAAGCATGTGAAATTAAGTAACAGGGTCAAATGGTGCAGAGAGGTCGTGGAGGATGAGGATTAAGGACAGTCCTCAGACTTGGAAATGAACATAAATTTTTGGCAGCTTTGAAGAGAGCAGTTTCAATTGAGTAATAATATCAAAAGTCAAATAGCAAATAGTTGAGAAGAGAGTGATAGGAGAGGAAGGCAATTTTTCTAAGAGCCTAAGAAAAGGAGGAAAGTTAGAGGGTGACAGTTTGAGTGGATGGTAGGGTCTAGCTGGGGCAGCTAGGTGGTACATTGAATAGAGTGCTAGATCTGAAGTTAGGAAGACTCATCTTTTTAAGTTCAAATCTGGCCTTAGACACTTACTATCTGAGTGACTCTGAGCAAGTCACTTCACTCTACTTGCTTCAGTTTCCTCCTCTGTAAAATGAGCTGGAGAAGGAAATGGCAAACCACTCCAGTATCTTTGCCAAGGAAACCCCAAATAGGATCATGAAGAATCACACAAGACTGAAAAAATGACTAAACAACAAAAAGAATCTAGTGAGGGCTTTTTAAGGATGGGGAAGACCGGAACTTTTTTGTAGAAAGCCACAAGGAACCAGTGAATAGGGAGAGATGGATGATTAGAGACAGGAGATAACTAAGGAAACAATCTATAGGAGAAGTCAGAAAGGGATGGGAATCAAATTCACATTGACCTTGGAAAGAAGAACCACCTCATCATGGACTGGAGGTACAAGGGGGTGGGACATTATGTCAACATGTTGTGAGATGGAGAGAAGGCAAGAAGAGAAAAAGGAATGGTGAATGGTCTTTATTTAATCAATAAAGGAAACAAGATCATCAGCTGTCAAATTGGAGGAAAAGATATTATGGGGAGTTGAGGAAAGAAGAAAAGGTTTTAGGGAGTCAGGACTAGAAAGTTTGTAAAAGTGTCTGAAGTTTTAGTGGATAGCATGCTCAACCTGTGTAAACAATGCAATATTGGAGGCAAAATAGCTAACATGAACTTAGATGGGATTAAGAGAGAAGTGTTTGAGTCTTGACTGCCCTGGGTCAGGCCACATCTGGACTATTGTGTTCATTTGGGGGTATCCAGTTGTGAAAAATACATTGATGAACTAGAGAAGGTTCAGAGGGGGCAATCAGGAAGGTGAAGGACCTAGAGATTACACCTTATTAATTAATTAATCACAATAATTTATGAAGCCCCAACTATACCAAGTGTTGGAACTGGACAGCTAGATAGCACAGTGATTTGAGTGCTGGGCCTAGAGTCAGGAAGACACTTCTTCCTGAGTTCATATCTGACCTCAGACATTTACTAGGTGTGTAACCCTGGGCAACCAACTTAACCCTGTTTGCCTCAGTTTCCTCATCTGTAAAATGAGCAGGAGAAGGAAATAGCAAACCACTCCAATATATGGCCAAGAAAACTCCGGGGTCACAAAGAGTCAGACAGGACTGCAATGACTGAACAACAGATGCTAGGTGTTGGATATACAAAGACAAAAATTCAATTTTCCCTGTCCTCAATGAGATCCATTGAAGGAACCTGGGATATTTAATCTGGAGAAGACTTGGGGACTGAGGTAGTAGTGAGTAGAACATAGCTGTGTCCTCAGTTTTCTTAAGGGCTGCTATATGAAAGAGGATTAGATTTGTTTTGTAGAGCTAAGAATAATGACTAGAAAATACAAAGAAGCAAATTTATGCTTGGTGCAAGGAAAAACTTCCAGACACTCATAGCTAACCCATGGTGGAATGGACCAGCTTAGGGAAGCACAGGTTTCCTTCTCACCGGAGTTGTTCAAGCAATGGCTTGAGATCTATCTGTTGAGTGTATTGTAAGCAGAAGGTTTCCTTTTCAGACAGAAATTGGACCTCTGAGATCCCAATAGCTCTGGGATTCTATGATTCTGTGCCCATGTAAATTTCCATTCTCATTCAAACGTATAGTACAACATAACATACCTTTTCATCCTAACAGACCAAAACTGGCTTTGTCACAGTGTTCTATTTAGATATTGTATTCTTTTAATGTTTATTCTTAACTGATAGCCTGAGAGACCACCTGATTAGGGCTTGGGTTTTAATTACCAGGTTCTGTAAGATAATTATACCAGAGACTTACAGATCAATCAATCAACTAAAAAATTTTTATTAATCATTTACTATGTGATAGACACTGTGGGATACAAAGAAAGGTAAAAACAGTCCCTGCCTTCAAAATGTTCACATGCTAATAGCACCCTGACTGTAACCTCAAGTCTCAGATCAAGGCTCTCTTGTCTTGAAGTCTCTCTTCTCTCTGAGTGACATCCTCAGTCCCATAGGTTTAATTATCACCTCTATGCTGATGACTCTCAGATCTATATATCCACAGCTAGTTCTTCTTTCCTGAGCTCCAGTCCCATATTACCTATTGCCAGTTGCCTATTTGATTTTTCAAACTGGATATCCCACAGACATTTTAAACTCAGTATATCTAAAACAGAATTCATTATCTTTCCCCCCAAAAAACCTACCCTTCTTCTGAAGTCCCCTATTCCTGCTGGGGACTGCAGCATCCTTCAGTCACTCAAAGCCTCAGTATTATCCTTGACACCTGACTCTCTCTCTCTCCTCATAGATCCAATAAGTTACCAAATATCATCAACTTTACTTTCACAATATCTCTCCTATACATAGATCCCCTTTCTCTCTGCCCACTCACTCAGCCCCCACCATAGTTCATGCCCTTATCACTTCTCATCTGAATTATTGAATTAGCCTTCTAACTGATCTCCCTGCCTCAAATCCCTCTTCAATTTATCCTCCACACAGTTGCCCCAATATTTTTCCTAGAGTACAGGTCTGACAATGTCACTGCTCCCCTCCTCAGTAAACTCTAGTGGCTCACTACTACCCTTAGGATATCAAATCCCAACTTCTCTGTTGACCCTCAAAGCCAAGTCTTACCTTTCCTTTTTCATTACTCATTGCTCCCTGTCATACAGACTATCAATCTAGTTAAACTGACTTTTCTTATTCACACATGACACTCCATTTCCTATCACCATACCTTTGTACTGGGTGTCCTTCCCTCCTTCCTGCCCCCTCCCCAAGCACATACCTAGAATCACTCCATCCTTACTTCTACCTCTTAGAATCCTTAACTTCTTTTGAGGCTCAAGCTCAAGTGCCACCTTCTACATGAGGGTTTTCTTGATTCTCCAAGCTACTAATAAATTCCCACCCACGCACCCCCTGAATTTATCTTTTCACTATGTTGCACATACCTTTATGTATATTTCAGCTCTCCTTACTAGATTGCAAGCTTCTCAAGAGCAGGAGTTACAATCACTTTTGTCTTTGTATCTTCTCCAAGCACCTAGCCCACAGTAGGTGCTTAACAAATGTTTGTTGATTGATTGAATGAGAAATTGGTTTTTTGAACTCGAGTGAGAGACCTTGCACGTATTCCCACTTAATTTCATTTTAATAGATTTGGCCCAACATCTCATCCCATTGAGACTTCGGAGATCTTGATTGTCATCCAAAAAATTAATTTTTCCCAGATTGGTGTCATCTGCAAATTTGATAAGCATGCTATCTATACCTTTATCCAAGTCATCAATAACACATTAAATAGCACCGGGCCAAGAACAGATCCTTGTAACAATTAACTAGAGATTTCATTCCAAAGAAATATCTGACTATTCTCTGGACATGGTTATTCAGCCAATTCTAAATCTATCTAACTATCCTATCATCTAGTCCATATCCATTCATCTCGTCATTCATCCAATGAGCATTTATTTAAGCACCTACCAGGCACAAATAACATTAGTAACTGACATTTATAAAGCTCTTTAAAGTTTGCAACATACTTTACAAATGTTACTTCATTTGATTCTCACAACAATTCTCTGAGGTTAATATGACAGATATTATTATCCTCCTCATTTGACAGAAAAGGAAACTGAGGCTCAGGCAAGTGAAATGAGTTGGTTAGGTTCACACAGCTAGTAAGTGTCTAAAGTAAGACTCAAACCCAGGACATGCTCACTCCAAGTCCAGCACTCTTCCTCTATACCACTCTGACTCGACAGGCTTGGTACTCTACTATAATCATTTTGACAAAACTCTTACCAACAAAATTGGAGAAACTGTCACTGCTCCTTAAAGTTGACACAAAGTCTTTGATATTCACTGAGCCATCATCTGCAAGGTAGAAAAGAGAAAGACGGACAGAACAAAATTCATGGACAAAGTATTTATTGGTCCATTTATTCACCATTAAAAGAGAAGTTTAATTATTTTTTTAATTTCTCTGGACATTTTACATTTATTAAGTGTTTGAAACTCGTTTTATTGCTACTCCCAGCAACCCAGGAAGGTAGGCGTATCATTTCTGATTCTAATTACAAGGAAATGGAAGTTCAAAAAAGTTCGGTGAATGAGGTCAACAGACTATACACAGCAAATGAGATCAGTACTCACAACACCCAAACTTCTAAACTTTTATTTAGAGAAAGGTAAAGGTAAAGAAAGGTAAGCTATTGCAAGGTATTACTCATTTAGCTACTAGAAGATTTTCCTTGGAGTAATGGAGAGGGAGCCAGCCCTGAAGTCAGCAGGAGCTGGCTATGATACATACTGGTTGTGTCATCCTGGTCAAGTCATTGAGCTTCTCAAGGCTCTAAGACTACAAGTGCAAGGAGTTTCTTTACCCAGGAGTTTCTGGTACCAGTGGATAACCCTGGCTTCAAACCAGAAACATTTGCATTAGAAAAAAAAATCCTCTCATTCATTGGTGAAGAGAATGATGACTCAATGATGTGTGCCTGCATAGGGCTGGGAGGGAATATTTGACATGAAAGCTTTTGAAGGACATTCTTCTTTCTTTTAGGGAGCACATATGCAGTCCCAAACTCTCTTCAGGGAGAAACCAGAGAGAAAAAGAACAAACTTTGGTTGGCAACATGGAGGGGAAACCCAGCAGCTCATACAATATGGCCCTAATTTCCAGTTTTTTCTCCCTAGAAAGAATTTCCCCTTGACTGGTATGAGATGTATTACTTCTAGTGGGAAATCCTATTTACTCTGTGTATGGTCTGGTATATAATCTTTATATTCTTTCTAACTTGTTTTTTATCTGATTGGTAGGATGTTTAAAAAGTTCCAAGAGACAGAGTGTCTGGGTAAATTAAAATCAGTTTTATTGACTACATCTAGAAAGCAGTCAACAAAAACAGGCTCATGGTCCCTTTGATAGCCAAGAGATTGAACCTGTTGAAACTTCAATATTTATGTGGTCTTTTGAAAAAGGAGTGCACTTTGAAAATCAGCTCTCATTGTTCAACAAGTAATAAGAGAGAATGAATATTATAATGTGAAGTGGGCTCTATTAAAATGAGGGTCTTTGGGGTACGTGACTTGGATCACCCATGTCTTGGTCACGGAGACATCAATTTCTATATCACCTGTCTGACAAAAGGGAGAAGAATCCACATTTTCCCAGACCGATTTGAGTAAACACGATGAACAGAAATACATCCATTAGCCTAAACTTAGAATTTCTTTTACTGTTTTTGATGTAGATCTTTAGTATGGGAAAGTCTTTGAGAGAGATTTCCTATACTGGTTGATTTCTGGATGAAGAAGTAAAAAAGGGAAAAATCATTGGTCCTGATTCAATAATTAGTTATTAATACAAGAAAGAAATAATCATTTTTTTCTCATTGGGTAAATGGGTTTACTGCTATTTACTATTTGTGATGGTCTTTTGTGTAACTAGCATTTTGTAGAAAGGAGCCCAGCTTGTGGTTATAAGATTTGTATATTCCTTCCTCTTTAAGGAAATATTACAAGTTTAGGAGTATTATTGTTTTTATGTTCAAGTCACTCTTCTTATCATTATTCCTTAAAGAGAAGGGAGTACCTCAAGCTTATGGTCAAAAGCTTAGCTCCCTCCTACCAAATGCTAGCACAAAAAAAACTATTACAAATAATGAATAGTAAGTAAACCTATTTATCCAAAAGGATAGCAATCAGAAATCAGAGGAGTTTCTCAGATTAGAACACATCAGACAATATATAGAACTCCCATTAGGAGTGATATAACTCAACTCAGCTAAGAGAGAGGGAAATTACTCAATATTACTCAAAGGCAAAGTTAGAAATTATGGATATATTAATGGACTGGCTGGGCTCATATCTTGCCTCTGATTCCATACTGGCTGTGTGGGCAAGTCACTTGAGCTCTCAACATTCCAAATAGCCCTCTAAGATCATAAGTTCCAGAGAAAATCTCAACCTGCTTTGACAAGGGAAGCTCCCTTACCAAGGAAATGCCTTAGATCAATAAAATCACAGGTCCAGTTCCTATCCCCATTTCTAAAAAATAAGGACTATGAAGATTTAGAGAGAAACATGGAAACAACTATATAAATCAATATAAAATATGTAGAACCAGGAGGACATTATGTGCAGTGATTCTAATCATGTAAATCAAAAGAACATGAAAGGAAGCCTTGGGGAAAGAATAATGAATGGAAAACACCTCACTCCTCTCAACAGAGAGGTAGAGGATCATGGGAGCAGAATGCTGCAAACACTGTCAGACAAGGTCACTATATAAGTTATTTTTGCTTAAATGTCTCAGTCATAAAGATTTTCAATGCTGGGAAAGAAATAAGGGGAGGTTTATATTAGGGGATTAGTGATATAAAAAATTAAATGCATCGATAACACAAAATCATAAATTACAAAAATAAAATACTCACCTGTAGATACAAGTGATTTTTCCAACTGTTCTTCAGGCAAAATAATACCCATACTCTTCAAGACATAATCCAAGTCCTTCTTGGCTACCTTGTCATCTTTGATCTTATTTAAGGCAAAGATTTTTTCAAATGGTGCTAGAAGCAAACAAATGGAAATTACTTGGGAGGGGAACTTAAAATTTACTTTAAAAAAAAAAAAGAGGAAGGAGGGTGTTTTTCATACCACTGGGCTGATAAGTGGAATTCCCTGTCTAATTACCACATTTTGTAGCCAGGGGAAGGGAAGGAGGGAGGGAGAGAAGAAACCTGCGGCAAGAAGGCCAAACTAGCCATGAGTTTATTCTCAGTAATATCACATTCAGGAACCCATGCTTATTTATTTACCAGGGCTCTACCAACATTTCCTCTGGTGATAAAAATGAACCAATAGTAGCAAATTCTCAGGGGCAGCTAGGTGGCACAGTGGATAGAGCACCGGCCCTGAAGTCAGGAGGACCTGAATTCAAATCCGGCCTCAGACCAAACACTTGACACGTACTAGCTGTGTGACCCTGGGTAAGTCACTTAACCCCAATTGCCTCACTTAAAAAAAAAGTAGCAAATTCTCATTCTTTCAATGCAGTAAGATCAAAGTCTTTATTTGCTTTGACCCTGCCAAAAAGAAACAGACTTAATTCAAACCTAAAATAAGATCTCTTGTGAATATAGGCAATAGCAAGGAACACGAGGCTTAAAGATATCCTCAAGTAAACAGCTTACCTAAGCTTTGACATAACTTCAGATGCATGTGAAATGTCTTAGATTTGACCATCAGTATACAATACACTTGACCTTGCAGGACGTTTGGCTCTATCACTCCCTATGTTATTGTAGTAGTGTTTAAATTGTCTAAAAATATGCTTAAGGCATGTTAATGGAGCTAGAACTGGGCAAAATGGTTCAGTAAGAGAAATTTTGGAACCTCCCATTTCCTTCTTCAGCATTTCCATCACTTTTTGGGGTGCCCTGCTCTAAACTTCTGTATAGAGATAGCTAGTCCCCACCAGCCAACCCCAGACTGACAAGTCCCATTATTCCCTCATAACCTCCACACTCCTGTCACTCACCCAGACTTATTCTTCTTCCAGCAATGGCCCCAAATCCAGATTTTTCCTTTTTATCCTATGAAAAGTTGCCTGCCTTGAATTATAGGATCATAGATCATAGTCATTCCTTCAGGATACTATTTTTTGTTTCCCAACCCAATATGATCAATTACCCTTGTGCATTAACGACAATGACCTCAATACAATTAGCACAGTTACACCTTAATAGAACCAAAGACTTTTAAGAGTTGGAAGGGATACCAAGAGATCATCCAGGTCAACCTGTGTCCAATTAAAAAACCCTCTGTAGCATCCATGGCAAGTGTTCATTCAGCATCTGCTTGAAAAACTCCAGGGAGCAGAAACCAATGTTTTCCAAGGCAGTCTATTCTAATATTCTAACAGCAGCTCTAATTGTAAGAGAGTTTTTACATCATATTGCATATAAGTCAGGCTTTGAAATTTCCATCCATTGTCCTTAGTTTTGCTCCCTACAGCCAAGAAAAACAAGTCTAATCCCACTTCAACATAAGAATCAAATACCTGGGAAAAGCTGTTGTAACCAAACTAAATCTTTTCTTTTCTAACCTAAACATCTGCACATTCCTTCTTTAGCCAACTGAACATTTTTAACTTTTTTTTTTCTATGAAATAAGCAGTCTTCTGTGAGGTCCTTTTGCCTAAACAAAAGTTATGCTTTCTTGTAACATAAAAACCGGGAAAATAGAAGTTCATAGCTGATTATTCCTGTGTTTTTTAAACCTCTGTTATTCTTAAAGAAACCAGTATAAGGGATGGGTTTCTGAAAGAAGCAGTTCAAAGGATCATGGGAAAACTAATGCCAAATCTTGAGCCACAGGACAGGGTACTAACTTTAAGACTTATGAATATGTAGAGGGTCTTCACCCCTAGGGAAATCAGAAAGCCAATAGCTGAAGGTCTGGGGGTGGGAAGAAGGTATCCATGTGAGTTACTATTCTCAAAACTAATTCAGTCCTAAATACATAGCTTCTCTGGGGAAAGGACTTTCTCATTTCATTGTTAAAAACTCTTAGATTCCAAGTCAAGACTTCCAACCATTAGCCAAGCATAAATTCTGTTGTCCTATATTCGTCTGCATTCCTAACATGAGTTGACTGAGAATAATACTCTACATTTCTAAACAGTAAAAGTGAATTTGTATCGCATCACCATTTATCCATTTCTTACTTATAGTTTCCTGTGCTTGTTGTCTTGTATCTTCTAGAGCCTGAAAGAACTCGTCAAAATCTACATTTTTATCTTCTGCAAGATAAAATATTTTGGATACAAAATATTTTAAATATGTCAGTCTTAATGAATAAAGGTCAGGATATAATGAAGACATTATATATTATTATACTGGTTTCTATGTCATTAATGAGCAATAAAGTTAGTCAGCAAAACCAGATTACTTTTTTCAAATTTTATATGACCAAAGAATACTACTACTACTACTAACTAACTAACTAACTAACTAACCTTTATATAATGTCTTAATGTTTACAAAGCACTTTTCATATATTATCTGTTTCTGTGGGATGACTGTGATGTCAAAATATGTCATGTGAGAATGGATAATAAAAGAAAAGGGTAATAAAACATTCCTTCTCCAACCAAACTGAACTATAATTTTGGAGTGAAGTTAGGAGGAACAGCTCACAGAAAGCCATGAATCCTGGAGTGATCTGTGATTGTCTTAGAAGTTTTCCTAGGTAGAAGAATTTTAGTTCCTTGGATGAGGGAAGCTATGAAATTGCCTTGCTTTAATAATCTTTAGTAAGAAGAAAGAAAAATTCCCTAACAATAAGGGAAATACAAATCAAAACAATTTTAAGGTATTTCCCATTAGAATGGCAAAAACTGAAAAAATGATTGAACATATACTGTAGGCACACTTAAAATAATGCTGAAGGGACTATAACTGGTACAAACATTTTGGAGAACAATATGGCAATACACCATATGAGTCACAGAGAAATCAATAAATCAACAAGCATTTATTAAGCACCTACACATGTGCCAGGCAATGTCTATACCTTTTGAGAAAACAATTTCTACTTTTAGGATTTATCCCAAAGTAGCATTAGAAAAAAAAGACTATTTGGAAAAATAAACATTATTCATAGCTACTTATTTTGTAATAGAAAAATGAGAAGAACCCCTCTCTGTCCAAATATTATATTTTAGCTACATTTTATATTGCATATTATGGTCATTAAAAATAAGGAACGTAAAACAGATCAGTAAATATGGAAAGACCTATGAAGTGATATAAAGCAAAGTCATCAGAACCAGAACTGTATTCACATTGACAAATATATTCTTGAAGGAAAGTAAAAGAAGAGGAAAAAAACAAAAGGAAATGAAAAGAAAATGGAATAGGCAGAGGGAAGGAGAATAATGAGGAGAAGGAGAAGAAGAGAACGGGAGGGAAGAGAAAAGATAGAACCTCAGATATGCCTGGAAAGAAATATAGAATGAAAGCATCTTCTTTGCTTATTTGTTATACTTATTCATTTCGTTAAATACCAAGAACATATGTAGATTTTATTCCTTGTTTTCATATGTTTAATTATATACCTAGTGGTGATTATTGAGTTAATCTTTTTTTTTTTAAATAAGAGAAACAATCATCAGTTTTGGTTTAGCCTTTCACCTATCTGAAGAGGCTAGGGAGGTTAGATCAGATGATCTTTAGAGATTGTTTCCAGCTCTTTGGTTCTCTGACTCATTTCTGTTCTTGATTCATTTAACTTGTTTAAGCCCATTACTTGTCCATTCAAAAATATCAATTATTACTCTGAATATTTTATCTCCTTCATTCTACATTTCATCATGAGAAAGAGCTCAGATACTGTTCTGAGTTGTTCTGATTAAAAATGAAGTCAGGTTACCAGTCTGGGATTGTAAACAGACAGGGGTGTCAGGAACACAGAAGATAAAGAACAAAATTCCAAGCTAAAGTTAGGAATACCAGAGAACAAAGTCAACCTAACTAAGAGAACTTCAGAAACAATGAGAGTAAGATTTATTAGGGAAATAACAATAATAGCTATTATTTATATAGTGCTTTAAGGTTCACAAAGTGCTTTATTTATGTTATCTAATTTGATTCTCACAACAATCTGTGAGGTAGGTGCTCTTATTAACCCCATTTTATAGATGAGGAGACTAAGGCTGAGAAAGGTGAGGTTTAGACCCTCGCCCATGAGACAATACTCAGGACTTCCTGATTCTATGTCCATCACCCTATCTATTGTACCATGGGTGTACTTGGCATTGACTTCTCACTATCTCGTTGACTTCTGATTTTAGCTTACAGATTAACTTCTTAGGTTTGGTGGGAGGGGAAGCTGGACAGCTAATGGGAAAGCTCTCCAAAGAAGGGGGTCTTCCTGGTCAGGGTATTTCTAGCTCTTCCCACTAAATTAGGCTATAAGATGACCCTGCTTTATAGAATCTAGCCCTGAGTCTGCCAAGATAGGAAAGTCTTTGGAACTTTGGTCCCTGGTTCTCCTCTTTTACTCATGGTAATTCTAAGCATGAGCACATAGCAGGCACCGAGTAAATGTTTACTGAATGACTTTATATTTAAAATACCAACCATCTTTTGGCACTGCCTTCAGTGCCTCTTGGAATTCCTTTTCCGTCAAATCAGGGTCTAATGTGTGCAGAGTGTCCCACAAATCGTGCACTGAAGCCTTGTTGCCCTTAAATTTCTCCACTTTTTCAAGACTTTCTTCTATTGCTGTGGATTTAGAGGAGGGGAAATGTTCATTCACATTGTGTTGATTCAGGAACTTAATACATTTAATTTTTATCAGTCATCATCAGCAAATAAAGTATTTCTATTTGGCAAAATTTTCCATTAGAGTTATCACTTTTCCATTTATAAAGTACCATTTTTCAAATAAATAGGCTCTAATGAATAATATTAAGATTACACTGAACAGAATTTTATCTTTTTTTAAATTATTCAAAAGGCGCTTCAGGAATTTTAGTAGCTCAAGGCCATTATTGTAACCAATGTATCACAGATACACATAAATGCTTAGACAACTGGTAGAGCGTAAGATAAACCAGCTTTCACTCTGTATCAGTCTATATCTGTAACAAATATGGCCAGATCTGACAACACCAGCCTATCTAGTGAAATGTGCCTCAATGGTATATTTATAGGCATCATCAGATTTGGCTTAAGAAGGGAATAACATAATCAGTTAGGTATAGAAATCTAACATGCCCTATAGGCAGGAGGAGGAAAAAGGGGAAAGAAAAGGGAGGGGGCTAATAGAAGGGAGGTGGGACTGAGGTCAAAAGCAAAACATTAGTGAGGAGGGAAAAGGAAAAAGGACAAAGAAAAGCATAAATGGGGAAAAGGATGGAGAGAAAGACAGTTATCATAATTGTGAATGTGATATATGAATATAATGGAATACTATTGTGTTATAAGAAATGATGAACAGACAGACTTCAGATAAACCTGGAAAGACTTGTATGGTTTGATGCTGAGTGAAGTGAGCAGAACCAGGAGAACGTTGTACACAGTAACAGCCACATTGAGTGATAACTGACTTTGATAGACTTAGCCCTTCTCAGCAATGCAGGGATCTCAGACATCTCCAAAAGCCTCATAATGGAAAATGCTATCCACATCCAAAGAAAGAACTATGCAGTCTGAATGCAGATCAAAGCATACTATTTGCTATTTTTTTCCTTCTGATGTGTTTTGTTTCCTCTTTCTGGTGGTTCCTCTTATTAGTTCTAATTCTTACTTATAACATCACTAATGTAAAAATATGTTTAATAAGAATGTATATGTATAGCCTACATTAGATTGCGTGCTGTCTTGGGGAGGGGGGAAGGGAGAAAAATTTAAACCTCAAAAGCTAATGGAAGTGATTGTTGATAAATCAAAAGAAATTAATAAAAAAATAAAGTTGGAAAAAAAAGAATGCAGGAATACACATCTTGCTCCTCTCATTGTTAACATGGCCTCAGAATAATGGGGCACCTAAAATAGTCAGATCTTAGGTCCAATTTAACCAACCTGTATAGACCTGACTTATACACACAGTCCTGCTTTACAAATGACCCCTTGCTCAGAGGGGAATATGATTAATGTGCCACTTAGGGGCAAATAATAATAATAACAATATTGGCCTGTCTGGTATGAAGTTGTACTGAGTATACTTACAGTGAGCCTACAGAGACTAAGCTTATAATGCTCTTATTAAACTACAAAAAACAATTATTTTATCCACCTGTGCAATGGTCCATAGAACATTAAATATAAAAGAATAATTGAACAGAATAGAGAGTTGTCCCAAGACTATTTCAATCTGAACCCCTTCAGAAAGGATGAGAATAAGTTTGATGATGATGATAATAATAACATCACCCTCAAAGCTCAACCTAACATCCATGTTGTGAAGATGGTAGGTCAAAGACTGTATTCCTTCCATGAGACCCTGAACAACACTAGCCAGTTAGATTCTGACAAAACCATTGACTGGATTAGCACCCCAGTCAGAGGGATAAAAACAATTCCTATGAATCTAAGAAACAGATAGAGCAACATAGATTTAAAGGCTGGCCTTACTAAAAACTGTAATTATGATCAGTTTGACGCAAAGAATTGCATAGTGAATAGTGTTCTGATACTACAATGAAGTAAAAGACATCAAAACAAGTCAGAAATACCAGTATGCCACATGTTGGAAATGCTTTGGTGTGGAAAATAAGTGTACATGAATTGGATCAAATATACTTTCATTATGTACCAATACTATATCATAACAAAATTGGAAATGGATCTTAACAATTAAAAGCAAAATTTTCATACCGGGTTTGGTTGGCTGGTGGGTTGGTTTTTTGTCAACAGTACCCTCAGCTCCAAGGGTACCTCTCCATAAAGGTGGAAGAGGATTGACCAGTATTATTAGAGACCATGATAAACAGGACAAAAACTTGGACGAACACTTTTGGAATAAGCAAATATCACTTAACCAAGTAACGGTAAAGGCTAATAACAGGTACACATACGAAATGGCAAAGCTCCAACAATGGAATTAAAATGCCTTCCATGGATGACATCCATATGAATTGAACCAACAATATGTTAACAAAGAAGCATTAAACAAAAGACTGAGTCATGGACTTCCGCTTCCAGGAGCCAAGATGGCGGAGTAAAAAGGTAGTCGCTCTCACCCTCCCCTATCAACCTCAGAAAACCCAGAAAATATCACCCCAGAAAAAACACTGGAAAAGCTGAACCAGAAGAAAGATGGGGTGCAGCTGTGCAGTAGCCCAGGTAGCTAGAGGGATTAAAGGGAAAGGCCCCTCTTACCATGGGGGAAGGGGAGCAGCACAGAATGAGAGTCACCCAGCCAGCTAGTGGAAAGACCCACTTTAGCACACCAGGAGGAGATTCTGGTGCCTCGGCATTCTACAGCAAACGGGTCTCCCAGTGCCTCAGCAAAAATAAGGGAAGCAGCACTACAAAGGGCCCCAGGCGGATAAGCACCCTGCAGCATTCATCTGAAAGGAACTGAAGAAAGCAACTTAGAGTTGCCTGAAAGTTCCAGCCTTGCTGATTCCAGCCCAACACCAGGTAAGCTATCAGAACTCTGCAGCCTCCAACTGCCAACCAGGAGGAGATCCCAAAGCCCAGGTGGTCGAACAGGCAAACACCAACAGCTGGACCTCCAAGTGCCTCAGTGAGGGTGGGGAACCGGTGGAAACCACCTCAGAAAACCACCATGTGCCTCGGCATTCTACAGCAAAGGAGTCTCCCAGTGTCTCAGTAGAACTAAGGGAGGTAGCACTGCAAGGGGCCCCAGGCAGATAAACACCCTGCAGCGCCCATCTAAAAGGAGTTGAACAAAGCTAAAGGAAAGGAAAAGCAGGCAACCTAGATTTGCCTGAAAGTCCCAGCCTTGCTGATTCTAGCCCAACACCAGATAAGCTGCCAGAACCCTATAGCCTCCAATTGCCAACATAAGAGGCCCCAGCACATGAAGCCAGTGACCAAGACCTAGGTTCCCAACACAAGAAGCTTGGGTCAGTTCCCTCTGCTCCCCAGCAGGAGAGTTTAATCTCTGTAAAGGCCAGGGAATAAAGAAACACCATGAGTAAAAAGAAACGTATGATAGATTCATATTATGAAAAGAGTGAAGATCAAGACAGAAATTCTGAAGAGGACAATATTGTCAACAAACCCACATCTGCAACATCAAAAGGAAATATGAACTGGTCTGAAACCCAAAAAGCCTTCTTAGAAGAGCTCAAGAAAGATTTTAAGTCAAATGAGAGAGGTAGAGGAGTCCTTAAAAAATACAATTGGCCAATTGGAAAAGAAGTACACTGAAGAAAACAAGTCCCTAAAAAACACAATTGGCCAACTGGAAAAAAAGTACACTGAAGAAAACAAATCCCTTAAAAATACAATTGGCCAATTGGAGAAGAAAGTACAAAATCTGACAGAAGAAAACAATATGTTAAAAATTAGAATTGAACAAATGGAAACTAATGACTCTATGAGAGAGCAAGAATCAGTCAGACAGAAACAAAAAAATGAAAAAATAGATGAAAATGTAAAATACCTCATGGGTAAAACAACTGACCTGGAAAATCGATCCAGGGGAAACAATTTAAAAATTATTGGCCTACCTGAAAATCATGATGAAAAAAAGAGCCTGGACAGTATCTTTCAGGAAATCATAAAGGAATACTGCCCTGAAGTCCTAGAACCAGAAGGTAAAATAACTACAGAAAGAATCCACTGCTCCCCACCTGAAAGAAATCCCAAATTGAAAATGCTAAGGAATATAATAGCTAAATTCCAAAATTACCAGATTCAAGAGAAAATACTGCAAGCAGGCAGAAAGAAACAATTTAAATATCATGGAACCACAGTCAGGATTACACAAGACCTTGCAGCTTCTACATTAAAAGACCATAGGGCATGGAACATGATATTTCGTAAGGCAAAGGAGCTTGGATTGCAGCGAAGGATCAACTACCCAGCAAAAATGAGCGTGATTTTTCAGGGGAGGAGATGGATATTCAATGAAATAGGGGACTTCCAAACCTTCCTGATAAAAAGACCAGAGCTCAAGAAAAAAATTTGATCTTCAAGTACAAGATTCAAGAGAGACATAAAAAGGTAAATGGGACAGAAAGATACAATATGTTGTTAATAAGGGCAAACTGTTTACATCCCTACAAGGGAAGATGACACTTGTAACTCTTTGGAACTGTATTGTTATTACACCATGTTAAAGGAGTATACATAAAGGGGGTGGATATAAGTTGACTTTGATGTAATGATAAAAAAAAAATCTAATCAAGTGGGTTAAATGGATCCAAGTAAGTAGATTAATCTGATCTAAGAAAATGTACTGAGAAAGGAGGGGGCAGACAAGGGTAAATTACATTACAGGAAAAGACACAAAAATCTATTACAGCAGAAGGAAAGAAGGGAGGGGGATGAGCATTGTTTGAAACTTACTCTCATCAGATTTGGCTCAGGAAGGGAATAACATAATCAGTTAGGTATAGAAATCTAACTTGTCATATAGGTAGTAGGAGGGAAAAGAGGAAAGAAAAGGGAGGAGGGATGGAAAGGAGGGAAGAAGCAATAAGGGTAAAGGGGAAGAAAAGGGAAAGGGATAATAGGAAGGGAGGTGGACTGAAGGAGGCGGTGGTCAAAAGCAAAACACTAGTGGGGGCAGGGAAGGAGAAAGA